ATGATTGCTTTAAAATCTTGACTATTTTAATTGCGTGTGTCAAAGCAGAAATATTTGACTATAAGCAAACAGGAAGTAAGAATTAGAATTCAAATATAGCCCGAAAGTTACTCTCATTAAAAAAATTACATTCCTGTCATTAAAGTTTAGATTAAAATTTCACTATTAAAATTGCACTTGACTGCCACTGTGGGAGTCTTTTTTCTGCTTATTCATTTTGTTGGCATTAACAGAATCTGCATGAGTTCAGGGAGAATAGAATTCAAGAAGAAAACAAAAATAAGAGACTACAGCTCAGTTTTGACAAAATGCTATTTAGCACTCTGTACTGATTCAAACCTGTAACGAAGGACATGCAGGTTTGATTCCTGGCTCGGGTCACAGTCCATGGAGTTGCAAGAGTAGGACACAAATTAGCGACTAAACCACCACTACTATTGATTCACTTATGAGTGGTCAAGTCTAGTATAAATTTAATAAGTTAAAGAATGATTGTTAAATAAAAAGTCTCTAATATAATTCATATTTTCAGTCTTTTGTAAATAGACATTCATTTGGTGTTTTTTAGAAATAAAACACTGGATGTTAGCACTTTACTTTTCTGTCTATTCAGTATGTACTTCCTTTGCAAAGCTGGTTGGAGCATCAGAGATCAGGATTAATGCTAAGGTCAGTTGCAAGATTCTATCTAGTATGCATATTCCCAAGACTGAGGCACTTAAATGATCTGGGAATTAGTGAGTGGTTTCTATCAAATAGACTGTTGAAAACAACCTGAAACAAGCATTAAGAAGAGAGGTGGAGCACACGGTTGATGTTCAGTAGACTCTGTGCCAGACTGATTGAATATATCATCAAAGCTAGATCATGGAAAAAGAAAGCAATTGAGTCTATCTTTATCTTCTCAGTAAGATGATTTTCAGCACAACCGTTATTCCTTTGGATTTTGTTGTTCTTTTAACCTCTCCAGCGTTAATACCTTCCCCGTAATAATGATGCTGCTGGACTTGCATCGAAAAACCATGGTAGCTTGCGCTATGACTCACTGATAGTTGCTCTGAATCACTGATAGGTGCTAGATGTTGACACAGTGAACTTAAGTCAAAATACGGAAATTTTGCAGGTTGTCAAATGTGAAAGGTCAAAGAAGGTCAAACTTGGTTTGAAAACTGTGCTAAAATTCTCTCAAGATTTACGATACAAAATGAAAGTCATATATTCACAGTAAACTTGCTAAAAAGCAAAATAACGTTTAATAACATATCATGTAACAAATACTGTAGTAAAGTATTTAATCTCATTTTCTTCACAACTCTATGTCATATGAATCATTTTAATAATTTTTTAACTGAAGAAAACAAGGCTTGAGGAGGTTAAATAACTTGCTCAAATTGGAGGGGGGAAAAATAGTTACTTAAAAAAACAGAAACAGGATTTCAATCCTGGTGTATATACAATGCCCATTATTTACATTCTTACACTGCTGAAATGATTTTTTCCACTTTTAAAACATCAAAACATGGTGGGTATCACTGCATAATAATAGAGATACACATTGACAAACTAATTTACTCAAGGGTTTATTACTCCAGAGGAGCTCTCAAGTTCTATCTTCTTTCAGCATTTGTCATATACTCCATTATAGTTAGCTCATAAGAAAGTACTCTCTCCCCTTCTCTCTTAGGCTGAAGGTTTTATGTAGTTCTTTACATTTAACAGAAGGCTTCCCTCTCCTGCCCCACTCCAATGCTCTGTGTTCTGTCTTGTATTCTTATTGTGTGTTTCCTCTGCTGGATGATGACAGGACCGAGGAAGAAAAGCCAAAGCAGTTCAGAGCAATCTTCAATTGCTACTTACAGTTTTCTTTTCCTTTTTATTATGGACACTGAAAGTGAAAATGTTAGTCTCTCAGTCTTCTCTGACTCTTTGAGACCCCCATAGACTATAGCCCACCAGGCTCCTCTGTCCATGGAATTATTCAGGGAAGATTACTGAAGCCATTCATTCCCTTCTCGAGGGGATCTTCCCCACCCAGGGATCGAACCCAAGTCTCCTGCATTGCAGGCAGATTTTTACCATCTGAGCCATCAGGGAAGCCCATTCAGTTCAGTTCAGTCACTCAGTCGTGTCTGACTCTTTGCGATCCCATGAACCACAGCACATCAGGCCTCCCTGTCCATCACCAACTCCCGGAGTTCACCCAAACCCATGTCCATCGCGTTGGTAATGCCATCCAACCATCTCATCCTCTGTCCCCTTCTCCTCCTGCCCTCAATCTTTCCCAGCATCAGGATCTTTTCAAATGAGTCAGCTCTTCGCATCAGGTGGCCAAAGTATTGGAGATTCAACTTCAACATTAGTCCTTCCAATGAACACCCAGGACTGATCTCCTTTAGGATGGACTGGTTGGATCTCCTTGCAGTCCAAGGGACTCTCAAGAGTGTTCTCCAACACCACAGTTCAAAAGCATCAATTCTTAGCTTTCTGTATAGTCCAACTCTCACATCCATACATGACCACTGGAAAAACCATAACCTTGACTAGACGGACCTTTGTTGGCAAAGTAATGTCTCTGCTTTTTCATATGCTGTCTAGGTTGGTCATAACTTTCCTTCCAAGGAGTAAGCGTCTTTTAATTTCATGACTGCAATCACCATCTGCAGTGATTTTGGAGATCAGAAAAATAAAGTCAGCCACTGTTTCCACTCTTTCCCCATTTATTTGCCATGAAGTGAGGGGACTGGATGCCATGATCTTAGTTTTCTGAATGTTGAGCTTTAAGCCAACTTTTTCACTCTCCTCTTTCACTTTCATCAAGAGGCTCGTTAGTTCTTCCTCACTTTCTGCCATAAGGGTGGTGTCATCTGCATATCTGAGGTTATTGATATTTCTCCCAGCAATCTTGATTCCAGCTTGTCCTTTCTCCAGCCCAGCGTACTCTTCATATAAGTTAAATAAGCAGGGTGACAATATACAGCCTTGACATACTCCTTTTCCTATTTGGAACCAGTCTGTTGTTCTATGTCCAGTTCTAACTGTTGCTTCCCGACCTGCATACAGGTTTCTCAAGAGGCAGGTCAGGTGGCCTGGTATTCCCATCTCTTTCAGAATTTTCCAGTTTATTGTGATCCACACAGTCAAAGGCTTTGACACATTATGGGCCAAAGGGAAGCCCATTATGGGCACTAATTTCCTACCGATTTTAAGAGAAAAGTCCAATCTACCTAGCTTTAAAAGCTGAGTTCAGCTCTTCAGAAAACCGGTGTTATTTGAAATCAAAACTATAGAGATGTCTGTGAATGCATTTCCAAATCTGAGCTACTGAGTACACTTTGTTTAGGGTTACCTATCAGTGAAATATCTCCAAGACATCTATAATACAATTAACTTTGAGAATTTAGATGTCTGGCTCAACCTAAGGCCATGTTATTCCAAGAACCAAATTATTTGTATTATTTGTAATTATCTTGTATTTCCAAGAACCAAATTATTTCATAAAGTTTCCATTCATACTATGAAATAGGTATACCATTTACAATTAGGCTCATTTGGGTAGACAATTTAAGTAGTGGTGTTTTCATCAGATTTTTTTTTTTTTTTTTGCATTGTTCATTGAGGTAGGGGAAAGTGCAAGTAGAAGCAAGTTAAATTCTTAACCATTTTTCATGAAATCCTGAGCTCCTTGCCATATTAACAATTAGTTAAAATGACTCGGAATTTATTGTACTTCTATGTGTGGCATTCCAAAGTTAGTTGAGGTCTGTTTTTCAATATGAGTAAATGTGTCTATGGACTTTGCTACTGAGAAGTTGAATGTGGAAAGCAAGAAGGCTAAGAGGGTGGAAAATTCTGGAATATTCTTACGTCTCTGAAAACAAACCACTGGACTTGCCATTGCTAATTAAAGCATTTTACTGAGATCCTTCAAATTCCCTAGAATTAGAGGCTTCTCTTTTTAGCAGCACTCTGGAGAATAGCGCCTTTTCTTTTTCTGTTTTAAAATTTCAATAGCTTTTGAAGTTTTTAACTGGGCGCCTTGATAATAATGTTCTGAATTCATAGTACCTTTCAAGTGTAAGTACTTTACGAATGATAATAGAAGGCTTATTCACCAAAGACTTTGCTATCTCACTAAAGCTGCTGGAGATTTAAATGGCAGGAGGCAGCCTGAAATTAACCTGGGAGGCCAAAGATGTGATCTCATATCTACTGAAAAAATGTCCTGGCAGTACCAGTGACCTCAAGAGGTCAAGAATTTTAGCTTTACATTTTTTTCAAAGGCTACCTCTGGCTCTCTAGGGCCCTCCTGGGGCAATGGTCTTTGTTCAGACAAAGTCAAGGATTTCATTAATTGAATCAGTAACACTACTTGTCTTCTCACCTGGGACTGTATCATAGTACCCTATCAGAGTTTAGACCTTCTTTATCTGTAAAATCTGCCCCAGTCAGAGTATAAGAAAATTTTCCTTCAGGCAGAATTTGTAATACAGTGGGACTCTATTCTTGTCTCCAGAATCTTATCAAATGCTACTTTTTTTTTTCTTTTTGGAGAGAATTTCTTGAATTTCTCCATAAATATTATATAAGATATTGCTTGTGAGAGAAATGTTTCCTTTCAAATATCTGTGTTTTCTACTCATACATAAATTTTAATTCATCACAGTGCCCTGAAAAGTTCAAATTATACATAGAATGTATACCTTGTATGAGAATCATTAATTTAAACTTGATCTCTCAAACTTTTAATATTATTTCTCATGATTTTAATTGTTCATCTGCTGCATTGGCAGGCGGATTCTTTACTGCTGAACTACTAGAGAAGCCCCTCTTCATCTAGAGGTATAATCAAAATTATTTTGATTTCTAGGTACATAAGAATCCTATAAAAGACATATTTCTGAATTTGTAGTAACAAATTTCCTATTATAATTTTTCAAATGAGAAAATGATAAACTAAAAGCTGAAATTTGTAATCATATGTAATTTTTTTTTTTTTTTAGCTCTGATGATGCCTTCAGTAAAGTCAATTTAAATTACCGCACAGAAAATGGTCTATCTCTACTTCATTTATGTTGCATTTGTGGAGGTGAGTGCTTGGAAATCAATACTCTGTAAACTAGTTATATGTATATATGGTCAGTGATTTGAGCTGCTTAATAGTCTACAAGAGAATTCTATTCATACTCAGTTTTTTCTTTTGCTTTGCTTCAGGTGAAGAAGTAACTAACTTCTAGACAGATATTCCAATTGATTTAACTCTGAATTTAAGTTTTATTGTGTTCCTACCTTGAATCAGGTATGCCTGGAAATTTTTTTAAAGGCATTTTTTTCAGTATCAGGCATGCTAGTCAGGGATTAGGTTAAATTCAGATGCACTTAAAACATTCCCCAAAACATCATCAAGCAATTGCTTCACGATCTGCAGTCAGAGGTAATAAATGTCAAAGACAAAATCCCAAAGTGAAATTTGGTCAAAGTGAAGACTAAGTGAAATTTGGTTCATAACTTGTTCTGTTCCGTTCATTAAGATATCCCAAGCATCTAGGATGGTGCCTGGCATATAGCAGGTACTCGATAAATTTACTGAATTGGTAAATGAATACTTTTTTGTTAATCCAAGCTACTATGCTTTGGAGTCAGTTTTTAAAAGAACAATAATGTATGAGTATTGACTCTAAATATATCCCATCACCACTCTCCAAACAACATATCTTCCCAAATTTAAACACACCTTTACAACCTTAGTCATTTCCTCCACATTTCTCTGATCTAAATAAACTAATGATGTAGTGATGTTCTGATTTCTATCTAAGCTTTTTCACAAATATTAAATTATTTACTAGGGTGAATGTTTTCATGTTTTTACTTTTAAAGCATTATTAGAAGAGCATCAAGTAAAAGATGTAGCATGAATTCATTAAAATACACAGCACAAAGTTTTCTAAATATAGTAGAATTGTTCACTAATACGTATTAACTGACAGCTCAACAAATGGCCTGCAGAACAGCAGTCTGACATTTTCATACATTGGTGTGATGTTTATCATTCCACTAAAGATTAAGTTAAAGATTTTTAAGTCACTTAGTCTATCTCCACAATTTGACTTTTCTCAATTTTTTTCTCTAAGGCAACAAGTCACATATTAGAACCCTTATGTTAAAAGGTCTCCGCCCATCTCGACTGACAAGAAATGGATTTACAGCCTTGCATTTGGCAGTTTACAAGGTATGCAAGTTTTGTATTAGAACCAAAGATGATGGGCTTTGTTTTTTGTTTGTTTGATTTTTCAAATTAGTGATCATGGAAAATATGCAGGGTGATGGGAGCATATGTTACTGGATAGAGTTCTAGCTACCTCTTTGTTGAGCAGTTATCATCAGAACATATTCACTTTATTGCTTTCCATCTTTATCTCATTTAATTCTCACAAGATCCCTGGGAATAAATACTATTATTATCTCAGGGTTACATGGTTATCTAGTGGTTAGCCAGAATTTAAGGTCTAACAGCCTGGTTTTCTTGCCAGAGCTCCTTCCAAGGAGACCAAGCTGCCTCAATGTAGAAGGTGATGAAGCTGCATTTGAGGATGAAAGAAGCACACTGAAGCTCTATTTTTCTGCCTGTTTTCCTAATAAACAAAATATCTCTAGGGTTCCCTTTAGTTTCTTTCTTTTATCATATTTTTGCTTCAGTTTTTTTTTTTTCTTTGCATCAGATCTGGGTTTCAACATAATTACCTTTAAAAAAAAAAGTGGAATGGATAAGCTGGGATACTCAGTGTTGGGATAGATCCTTGAGACTGTCATAAATATGAGTTTATTCAACATATAAATTAAACATAAAAGCTCATTTTCTGATTGTAGCAAGCTTCTACTTATTCTGTACTTATTACAAACTAAATATCTCACTAGGTTTTATATACATTATTTCTTAACATTATAATAACTTAGTGATTTTCCTGTTAGTCTTTATTTTATGGAAAAGGAAATTGAAAATTAAAGTTGGATATCTAGACAGAGAAGCCTGGCGTGCTGCTGTCCATGGGGTCGCAAAGAGTCGGACATGACTGAGCAATTGAACAACAAATGATTAGTATCAAGTACAGTTGGCTCTTATTGCATATATTGTTCTTTCTCAATGTCATATGACTCTGTAGCAGGATGTTATTCCAGTTTTGTATGTGCAGATGTGGTAGTGGCTGGGGCAGGGGATGGGGAGGGGGCAGCTGTTTGCTTGTATCTGGATCATTTTCACTTTGCTTCGCAACCCTCCCCCAACCTTTAGAGAGTTTATCTCAAAGGTTGTAGGGGGAGAGAGCTGATATTCCCATGATTCACACTCACATATATTCTTGTGATTTGTCATGCAAATTTCTAATCCTCATACTTTTTCAAGCCCAGTCAATGCTTAGTCAATTGTCTTTAACACCAAAATCACTGCAGATGGTGATTGCAGCCATGAAATTAAAAGACACTTACTCCTTGGAAGAAAAGTTATGACCAACCTAGACAGCATATGAAAAAGCAGAGACATTACTTTGCCAACAAAGGTCCGTCTGGTCAAGGCTATAGTTTTTCCAATGGTCATATATGGATGTGAGAGTTGGACTATAAAGAAAGCTGAGTGCTGAAGAACTGATGCTTTTGAACTGTGGTGTTGCAGAAGACTCTCGATAGTCCCTTGGACTGCAAGGAGATCCAACCTGTCCATCCTAAAGGAGATCAGTCCTGGATGTTCATTGGAAGGACTGATGTTAAAGCTGAAACTCCAGTATTTTGGCCACCTGACTCATTTGAAAAGACCCTGATGCTGGGAAAGATTGAGGGCAGGAGGAGAAGGGGACGACAGAGGATGAGATGGTTGGATGGCATCACTGACTCAATGGACATGGGTTTAGGTAGACTCTGGCAGTTGGTGATGGACAGGGAGGCCTGGCATGCTGCAGTTCATGGGGTCACAAAGAGTTGGTCATGACTGAGCGACTGAACTGAACTGAATCATCCTCCAGAACTTGAATGGAGACTGAGTTCAGGGTATTGGAAACAGTGTCTGATGCCAGCTTTTCTGCTAAATGGCAGGGTGTGACAGTAGAAGTGATCCAAGGAATAGGAAGCCGGTGATGGACACTCAAGTCAGTATTGTGCAACCCTGAATCTGACTGTCTGGGAGAGTCTTTCTATATCAGTTCATTTTCCTAAGACAGCATGACACAACCACACAAATGGTTTCTGAATGATTTAGTACTACAATCTTAAGAAAATATATTTCTTCCACCTCTGTTTATGAAACCTAAATTTCCATTTTTAGAGTTTCCTTTGCTCTAGTTTTTCTGTTTTCTTATATTTTACCAAAGGATATATGGACTACAACTTTTCAATAACAAATTTAAACAAATTTATTATCTTAGGACTCAGGTAGGCAAAAATTTTTAAGAAGCCATAATAGAATACATGATTACTTATTTTTTAACAAAGGTAAAAACAAATGAAATTTACCATTCCACTGTAAAAATGGAAACAATATAAATTAGTCATTCATACTAATGTTGTATTAAATGTAGTTCTAATTATATCTTCCCTGAACTACTGAAGTAGGCCTCTGATTCATTTGGGGCTGTAGTTTTCTTCTCCCATATAGTTTTTGATTCTATTTTACTATTATTTTAAATAAAATGACATCTAGACTATTGCAAGAAACATTTTTTCCAGGTGAATTGTTTGCATTTTATCCCATCTCCATCATCAGTCTGTTCTTTTTCTGAATCATTTGAAAATAAGTTGAAGACAACATTCCCCATAGCTACTAAAGTCTATTGATATCTTTATTTCCAAAGGAAAAGGAAATTCACTTACATAATCACAATACAGTTATCAAAATCAGAAAATGTAAATTGACACTTTACTTTTATCTAATCTATACTCCAAATTCAAATCTGGTCAGCTATTCCAATACTGTCATTTATAGCTATTAATTTTTTTTTTGATTAGCATTCTGTCCAGAATCATGTTTCTTGTTTTCTTGTCTTTGTAATCTCCTTTAGTCTGAAGGAGTTTCTCTGATTTGCCTTGCTTTTCTTGATCTGAGTATTTTTGATGCATACAAAACAATAATTTTTATGTGGTTCTTTTGAATTGTAGAAATGTTACAGTTGAAATTTGTTTTATTCTTAATACTCACAAAAAGAATAATTTAATTCTCAAATCATTTTATTGGCCACATCCAATTATACATCCTCCAATGCTGGGCCTGCCTCAGAGCCAAGTATTCTTCACCAGTGAGGGCATGTCTGCTTTCATTAGTAAGAACAGAGAAGATGATTAGCTTTTAAAAGCCATGTGAATAGTTAGATGCCATAGTTTTCTTTCTTTGTTTTTGCTTGGTTGTTTTTTTGAAGGAATCAGATTTATTGAGTTATAATTTATGCACAATAAAACTCACAATTTTAAGTGTAAAAGTTGATGACTTTTGTATATATTCGTGTACATCATTGTTATCATGTTATAGGACTTTTCTGTCATACACAAAATTTCCCTCCTACCTTTATGCAGTTAATTCCTTCCTCCATGTCACGTGGCCTCTGGAAACCACTGATGCCTTTTCTACCCCTACAGTTTCCCCCTTTTTAGGATTTTATATGAATGCAGTCCATTCAGTTTATTTTATTTTGTGTACGGTTTATCATAATGCTATTGTTGTGTGTTCAGTAATTCATTTCTTTTATTGGAAAGTTGTATTCCCTTATAAGGATATACCACAGTTTAACAATCCACCTGTTGAAGGATTTACTGATAATTGTTTTTAGATTTTGACTATTATAAATAAACCTGCTATTAACATTCATATATAAATATTTGTTTGAACATATGTTTTTATTTCTCTTGCTGCAATACCTATTAGTGAAATTCCTGGGTCATATACATAGGCTTCCACGATGGCTCAGTGGTAGAGAATCTGCCTGCCAGTGCAGGAGACTCGAGAAACTCGGGTTTGATCCCTGGGTCAGCAAGATCCCCTAGAGGAGGAAATGACAACCACTCCAGTATTCTTGACTGGAGAATCCCATGGACAGAGGAGCATGGCAAGCTTTAGTCCATAGGGTCGGTCCCAAAGAATTGGACATTACTGAGTGACTGAGCACATACACACATAGTTAAGTGCATGTTTAATTTTAATAAGATGTCAACCTCCTTACCAAACTGGCTGTATCATTTTCCATTTTCATCAGCCATGTATTAGAATTCCAGTTGTTCCACATTTTTGTCAACATTTGGTATGGTAAATATTTTTTTTTATTTTAGCCATTCTATTAGATGTATGTTATATTATCTCATTATGAATATTTTGAATTTACCCAGTGACTAATGAAGTTGAAAAGATTTTCATGTGCTTGTCACCGAAAGTTTTTTTGGTACAGTGTCTGTTCAGTTATTTTTTTCCAATTTTTATATTTGGTTTATTGTTTTCTTGATTTGTAAGAGACTTTTATATACCCTGGATACAGAATCTGTGTTGGATATACATTTTACAAAAAGTTTCTCCTGTTCTATGGCTTGCTTTTTCATTTTCTTAACAGTGCCATTTAAAGAAAAAAAAAGTAACATGCATTACTTTTTAATTGAGGACTCCAGTGATTACACTGTGGATCCTTAATATATCACAAGTACGTCCTCTTAATATTGGCCTGTGCTTAGTCTCTCAGTCATGTCCAACTCTTATGTGACCCCATGGACTGTAGCCCACCAGACTTCTCTGTCCATGGGGATTCTCCAAGCAAGAATACTGGAGTGGGTTGCCATGCCCTCCTCCAGGGGATCTTCCCAACCCAGTGATTGATCCCAGGTCTTATGCATTCGCAGTCAGATTCTTTACTGTTTGAGCCACATTGGAAGCCTATGAATACTGGAGTTGGGTAGCCTATCAATTTTCCAGGGGATCTTCATGACCCAGTAATGAAACCAGTATCTCCTGAATTACAGGCAGATTCTTTATCAGCTGAGATACCAAGGAAGCCCTAATATTGGCCTAATTCACTCTAAATATAAGACCCTTTCAATGGTATAGTTCCATGTTATCTTCATTCTTTATACTACTTTTGCTATATGTCTTACATCTTTACATGTATATTCTCCAGTATGTTGTTAGAACTTTCCCATTAAGCTTTAATATCTTTTAAGAAAGTAAAAGAAGAGAAAATATCTTTGGTTTTGAGTAGATGGGTTATAATA